CAGTTCAGCAAGTGAGAGGGAAGAGAAAAAAGGGGCAAATAGAAACATGTAGATCTTCTTTAACCTATCTAGAAGTTGCATGGCAAATGTGATCTAACTGCTGATACCCAATTCTTTATTTTAGTTTTTTGAACAGTTTGATGAAGATGAAATTGGAGCCCTGGATAATGTGGAGTTGGAAGGCTATATTAACACGGACAACACTCGGTTGCAGGAAGTCCTGAATGATTACTACAAAGAGAAAGCAAAGGAGTATGTATTCCAAGAAGTACTGCTTCACATACGTAGTTGTGTGTTCATACTGAGCGTTTGGATATGTTGTTTCCAGCTAATATACTTGGAGATTACATCCCACAATAAAATCAGTTATGTACAAGTATCATCCATTTCTTAATGTCACTGAATGAATGATAAAATTAAGTGGAGGCATTTTGTTGATTTATGTGAGATTGTGCTTTTTGTATAATTACATTGAATTTAGTCTAGTGATATCCCAAGGCATTCTTCCTTTCTCTTTTTAGTGTAACTTACCTTTCTCCTTATGCCTTCACTTTTGTTTTTAACACGCTGTAGCCAAATGTATTCTGTTGTGCTGATGTGCAGCTGATTCTGCTGTGTACTTGTGACATGATGATAAACTCACAGGAGACTGTTCTGTGGATGCCACTGTTCAGAGCACTGCAAAAGTCAGTGTTTATAAAGCAACCCCTTCTCAGTGTAAGACTGCATTTCCACAGTACGTTCACTTTGCCTTAAAGCAGATGATATCCCAAAGTTAAATGGCTAAATGTTCGCACCTTAGTCTTGTGTGTCTTGGTTGAAAGGTAAGGCAGTGTGTCCCTTGTAGCAGAATATGACTGGTCAGTAGCAGAGATGCAATCACCTCTAGAGCTGCCTTGCTTACAGACTAAAAAGTGTATCTTTTTCTCTACCTGCCCTCCAGACACAAATTTTGAGCATCACGTACTCTTGATATGCAGAAAGAATTATTTTTTCAACTATGTCTCTTGTCCTAATGTTTCAGTTTATCTTGGGGGTGCTTACTTAAGGAAACTTAGTTTTGCTGCAAGTTTCATTGGGAATCGCTTTCTTCAGTTTGGGATTTTACTGAAGGGAGTCTGAATGTACATAATTACACATTTTCAAGAAAAGAAAAACCTTATTTTCTTCTCTGGTCTTTAAAGTTGTGTGAAATTGGATGCTCTTGAACCCTGTGAAGATTTAGACTCTGCTGCGAATGAAGAAAGCGAGGAAGAAAAGGAAGAAACGGTAGCTGTAGTTATTGAGGAACCAAAAGAAAAGTGGGATTGTGAATCCATTTTGAGTAAGTATTTTGAAGCCCAGTTCTTTTTTTCCTAGTATTTTAAAGTAAATGATAGGTTATCTCAGAAGTGCTTTAGGTAAAATGGTTTGTGCTTCTGGAGCACAACAGTGGGAATTCTTGTTAGACAAAACTAGTGGTTTTGTGTGGAAATCGATTCTTGCAATTTTGTATCTTCAAAAACTGACTAGTGGTCAATTCATAGTAATTTTACCTAATACCTGTTTGCAAGCCTTTCTTCACTACTTTTTTTTTTCTTTTTTTTTTTGTGGCCTAGGTACGTATTCAAACTTGTATAATCACCCAACACTTATTAAGGAGCCATCAAAGGTAAAATAATGAAGATTATTCTGAACAACAACCTGGTCTGGGAAAATTTGAGACAAAAGTGATTGCTTTCTCAATATCTGTTTTTAAAAGAAGGAGGGGGCAAAAAAAAGGGTTGGGGAGGGCATTAGCCTCTGGTATAATTCTTCACTGAAGAAGGGTTTGGATAAATTTTCTCTACTAGTAGGAAAATTTAGTAAGTTCAAAATTTCTGTAATAGCTAGGCAAAAACGTAGAGAATGAAAAACTTACTTTCTTCTTACCTGTGGTACGCCTTTTTGTAATTTGTGTCTCACAACCACGTGTTAGGTTTTTTTTTTCCAGAAAATAGTCTTCTATTTCCCTTCTGTAATTTGAAACAATTTATCCTTGTTCTGTGGTCTTCCAGATGTTTCCCATCTTTAGAGCACTGCTTGATGTTCCAGATGTGTGACATTTTGAAAGGAAGCCTTTTTCTTGAAAGTTTATCAAGGAATAATAAGTGTTTACTTAAGTTTTTTTGTGGTTTTTTTGTAATATTTAAATAAAAGATTGAAAGTCCTTTTTCAGGAAGGCCATATTCTGCTCACAGGTGTATTTGAATCCTTACTTTGAGATTAATGAGCAGTTTTTCTTAGGAAAGAAAATAGTATGAGGAAACTTAGGTGTTTGTTACTGTTAAAAAGAAATATCATGTTTTCATAGTGATAAGGCAGTGCAATGTGCACTTCTTAGAGAAAGCTAGGGAACATTAATAAACATGTGCTCTCTGTTTTAGCCCAAACCAATAAAAATTTCCCAGAAGACTGGAATTCCTCTACATGTCTTGCCTCAGAGAGGTCTCACTGCTAGGCAGGTTGAACGCATGCAGATGATTAATGGCAGTGACCTGCCAAGAGCATCAGCACAGCCCCGTTCCAGAGGCGAGAGCAAAGAGGATCGCAGAGCTAGGAAACAGGCAATCAAAGAGGAGAGAAAGGTAAAGCTTTGTTTTAAATAAAACCCTGCAGAAGCACCTTTTGTGATCTGAATTCTGTCTTACAGACTGTTTTCAAAGCTCATTTTTCTTGTGCCTGGAAATTAATGGGAAAAACCTGTTGGTCTCAAAGGACTAGTAATTGCGTCTTCTTTTAAAAAATCTACTGGAAAGAAAGTTGACCTCATAACTTTGTCATCCTGATTTCCTATATGGAAATTCTGGTCTCTTCTTGTGGCCACTATTACATACATAAGCTTTAGAAGGAGCCCTCATATTTCTAAGATAATATATCTTGGGAAGCAAAGAAAACACTTGCAATGTTTCAGTTCACAGAAAGTGAAAACTCTCTGAAAGAAGTATATATCATTGTGGCCAATGTGGATTTTCCATTAGTTATTTTATTCAGGAACAGAAATTGCCAGCCTCTTAGAAGCTAAAGGTAATTAAAGATTAAAATCCTGGTGGTACACCAATTAATTTGACTACTAATAATTAGTGCCATAAATAAGTGTTGTCCAGAATAATGTATTGTCCAGATTGCTGCTGTTTTAGTGATCTAGACCTGTTAATGAGATTTTTATTTTTTTTTGCATGTTATGCCTATTTTGTAAATTTGTAACTATTCTTATGCATAGGAACGCAGAATGGAGAAGAAAGCCAACAAGTTAGCCTTCAAATTGGAGAAAACAAGGCAAGAAAAAGAGTTGCTCAATCTGAAACAAAATGTTCAAGGACTGAAGCTGTCTTGAGGAAACTGAGGAACTTAAGGATGTTTCCACAATAAGTTTTAATTTGTATCGAGAAGGCAACTGCTAACTCATAGCTTTGCCAGTCATGCACAAAGGGGGTTATTCAGATGTTACTGTAACAAGAACCAGGAACTTATCATTCTTTCTGTAAGGAATTTATACATTTAAACAATGTATTACTGATGGCAACTGTCTTAAAGCTTCATTACAGTAGAAATATTCAAATTATGAACATATTTTTTTTTACTAGCTATCACTGGACAAAGTTTTATCTATGTATTTTTTGAGTGAATTCAACAAATCAGCAGAATCCTACAGATTTTATCTGATTAGATTTTTTTCTATTAAATTATTTCAATTTGCCAAGCAATATATCTATTTATGTCTTCTCTCCCTTGCACCCATGGGTAAATACAGTGCCTTGCCATAGCACAGTTTTGTAAGGCTTAGTTCTTTTCTGAGTTGGTTATTTATTGTTTAGGTACTATTTTGAAAGATGTAAAATAGCCTTTTGTAAACAGAGGTTTCTGAAAAGCTGTTGTGTAGCTAGACATCCCAGTTACCTGAGTTTTACATTTCTTAGCAAATAAAATCTGTCGTAAGAGGTGTTGAAGTTGAGTAGTCAACAACCCTTAGCGTTGCCGTTGAAATCAGCTTGGCTGAAAGTTCTCAGTCTATGGCAAACAAAGCAGGAGATACTTAAAAAAACACTGTATGTTGCAGCCATTGTCTCAGTTTCCCTGAAATATTAACCTGCAGGTTACTTGTGTTCAGTTTAGTTTCATTGAAATGCAAACTGCTGACCCACTGCAGCAAAGACTTGCGGAAGGTGAGCAGAGGGCTAGTATCTTTAGGCTTGATATGATCTTAAATTTCTGTACTGTGTATGTGAATTACTCTTGATAGTGACCAGTCTGCACGTGTGAATTGAATTAATGGGATTTGTAGTCAATCCTTCTGAATCCTGTATTCCTCAGCTTTAGGTCTTCAGTTCTATAGACTGAGCAATCTTCTGCCTTTGGGTGAAAAGTTAACCGTTTTACTGGTAAGGATCACAGTAACTAACACAACAGTAGGGTGGCTTGACTACTACTAAATCCAAACCACCTTAAAGATTCCTTAAGTAGTTCTGTGAATACTTATGAGGCCTCTGAATGTACAGAACCAATTCAAAGTACTTGCATTTATTGGAAGAATGCTTTTATGTTATAATTGATAAAGTAACACAGTTTTGGAAAAGGGAATAAATAGACATATAAGTCTACAAGTCTCTTGATCACTGCTCCAAAAACTGAAGTGTCAATACAGTATTCACATCTAGATTAAACCTTCATTTTCTAAAATTGTTGAAGGGTTTGTGTTAACCAAACTATTGGAAATCATCTGTAAGATTCAGACAAGTTTCAGTGTTTTCATTTAGCTGATCCCTGTACTGGTGGTGTTCCTAAGTCCCACAGGCTTAAGCAGGGTCTGCCTGAATCATAAGGACGAGTTATGTCATTGCTGGTGCATGGTAACTTGAGTTGGGAGCTTTTGAGTAATGAAGACTGACCACCTGGTGCTCGGAAGAGGAGGTTAGAGAAACCACTCTGTTGGGATGAGTCAGATACCAGGAAAGGAGCTGGATGGAACAAGTGAGTAACAGATGGTGTTCAGTGGCTTGGGTGGAATGTGCCTTTATGATTTACCAAGAAGGAAAATCTTTCGTCATGTAAGTGCACATGTTCTTTGCTGATTCTTCACTCGTCTGCTGTTGTACTTACCAAAAGTAACTATAATCTGTGCTTATTGCTGATTCAGTGTCACTGTACTTGTACCTATATTCCTTTAAAAAACCCAAAAAGCTGTGTCAGTCAGAACCATGAGGGGATGAAGACAGAGTGAGAGATGGGGGAGGCAGAAAGGAGCTGCTTGAACAGTATAGCCCAGACTAAGCACAGACACATGTAAAGGTGTTGGTCAGGAGCAAAAGTGGAAAGATGTTTAAACAGGCAATAGAATATGGAAAGTTAACAGAATTTCTTTGTTCCTCCACACTTGTAATCAGTGAAACACTGCACTAACCTTAGTTTTGTGCATTGGAGTAGGGTAAAATCTGAAGAAAAAGGTAAGAAAGAAAAGCAGTCACACATCTACTCAGCAAGACAAGGATTTCTTTTGTTTCAGCAAGAGCAGGTAAGGAACATTGACATGAGAAGTCTTTCCCTCTGCAGGGTTATGAGTCTCATGAAAAGGCTCTTTGTTATTGTTCAAGTTTTCTTAAAAGCTGTTTTTGTTTAATACAAGTTATGTTCCTGATCCAAAATGAGAATGTCACTGCCATCTGAGTTGGAAAGGCTTAAAACTACTTTCCGTGTAACTTTACAGCCTATTTAAAAACAAAACAAAAAAACCCCAAACCAACAAACAAAAAGAAACACTCAAGCTATTTTTTAAGTTATTGATTCAAAAACATCCCCTAAAATTTGAGATGTGTGAAGTGAGATCAGCTTGGAATGCTGTTTAGCACATCATGGAAACATTCTATCTTGAGAATGGGGATTGTGTCACTGACTTGCACCACCTGCTGCTTTATGGAACAGCAAGGGTGTACCCTGAGCCTTTCCTAGGCATTGCTGCCTCCTGGTGATGTACAAACAAAATGGAATAAATCTGGTTGCAGATTGTCTGCTCTTGCTTTCCAGCCCCCCTTCCTCTATTTAGGGAGTGATGAACTTGAGTACTCCATCATCTCACCCACCACATCACTGTGAAAGGACATACCTGAGCAGGCATATGGAAAACAGCTGTCTGCAATAGTAAAGGGGAGCTTGTGCTTCCTAGGAACAGGATGAATGAGGTAGTTCTGCAAAAGGGAGCTCTGGCATGTGACTGTAGACATCCCTTTCTGACACCAAAATACTGTTTCAGCAAAGGGCTCAGTCCAAAGGCTGACTGCTGTAGTCAAGCCATTCTGGGCTGTGTAACTGAGGCTCTTGCATGATTTGAATTTTACACAGCTGTCCAAAGGCAAGACCTGGTCTTTGTACAACCTGGGGAAGGCATTTTGCACAAGATGTTTAGGTAAAACAAAACTTTTGGTGTTTGTTTTTTTTTAATGGGAATGTCAATATGTTTAGCTGAAAGGGGTAGTGAGGACTGGAGAAGGAGAAGGTGGTTGCTAGCAGAGAAATGGGTTGAACATGTTTAAAAGAGGAAACAATCTAGTAACTGCTTTATTAGTGATCTTTATTAGAGAATTAATGAATGTGCACAGAAATACAGTAACTTAATCAGCAGTCTTGCACTATCTTAATTTACCTGCTTGTACAAACACAGATGTTTACTATGTAATGCATTTAGAACAATGTTTTATCTCTTGGTGAGACATAACTAACCTGAAGCTTCCTTTGTGCTCCAGGATTCTAAGCAGAATTTGTTATTTCAGACTTGCTGGGAAAAATAGACTAATAAACCATCTGATAAGTAGTCTCTTTGACAGCATAATGCAGGCACCAGGCTCTGTTCCAAAGCCTGCTGAAGTGAATGAAAAGATTCCCCCTGACCTCCCTGATCTCTGGATTACAAACTAAATGGGTGGCTGCACAGTTTGCCTGGCACAACCCAACTGAGGGGCTTTTCTGCAAAGGAGGGCTCAGCACACACCCCTCCCCTCCTCAGTTTGCATTACTGATCCTGGGGCTTTGTGGTCCTGCAGAGGAATCCTCTTCTCAAATTTGCTGTCAAAAATATCTAGAAACAGAAGTTAAGGACCTGAAGCACATGAATAGAAAGGTTCAAAGGGAAACGGGAACTTAGAAATGTGTGTCGTGGAATGGGGAGCAGCTGCTCCTCTTCAGTTTCAGCGGTGCTGATGCAATGGATGTGAAGCTGTTTGTCAGGGGAGCCTCCAGTATGGAAGGTTTATCTGAACTCAAAGAACTAATAATGTAAATATTGGCCCCTTTAACAGAATTAGTCTGTACTGCCTCTTAACCAAGAAAGAATAGCAAGTGTCCTGGTGGGGGTGGGAAATCCAATGAGACTGTTGCTGTTCACAGACCTAGTCTGTTCTTCTTCTGGCCTCCAGCATGTCCCTGAGCAGAACAAGTTGGAAATGGCTTCTATTTCTTGTTTGTTTTGAGCTGCAGCTGTACTTGGATAGCTTTTTAAAATGTTGCTGAACTCTTTCAGGAGTTAAACTGAACCTGGAATAAATACTGCTTCAGCTCCCTGTTCCTGAATAGAAGTAGTTTTAAAGCTTGGTTAAGGTGGTATCATTAACAAAGCTTGACTTCAGCCCATAAGCAACTGTTTTTCTTTGCATCCCAGCTGAGACAGGATCCAAAATGCAAGAAAGGCTTCAAGGAGTGCAAGCCCTTCAGCTCTTTGAAACAGAGATTGCAGGGAACAGAAATCACCACTGTGAAGAAGCAGTACCCCTCCCAAAGGTATAGTTATAATCAGAACATGTGTCTTACCTCCATATGAAGCCTTCCATTCAGTAATGCTATTGTTTTCTCTGGGGACGAAGCCTGGGTGTTGTGGATGAGTCTCACATATGTGCTTGACTCAGTGCCAAATTCTTTCCTCCTTGTCGCTGTGTTGCTGGTGTCTGAGAATATTTCTCCTTTCAGAAGTCAAACCAGTAGGTGTCATGACTATTCTGGGCAGATGAGCATCTCTGCACTTCTAGGAATATTAATGTGTATATTTTAAAGACTATGCAAGTCTCTGAGAGCTTCCTCTTCTCTTAAATCTGAAAGCATGATCCAAGATGGTTGGTGCATTCATGCACCATCTTGAACCTGAGAGCTGTCAGTATCTCCAGATTTTCCGTGATGAATTTATGGAGATCTACTGCTATTGTACTTGAGGGTTTAAAAATGTATTTAAATTGAACTTATTTATAGAGCTGGAGGGGAAGAGGCTTGAGTCTTACTGAAACAAGGGTTTTTTCATGTATTGTTGGGAAGAGGGGAAGACTCATGGACATACATGTGTCTAATTTTACCCAGAGATGCCAAATGACTACTGATATGGTATCCATGCAGACTGCCATTGTAAAATGTCTTTTAAAATCTGTTGTGAAAAGAAACACATGTGCACAAAGATTTAAAGCAAGAAGAAAAATCTGACAAGTGAAAGAGGGGCGGGGGGGGGCGGAAATCTGAGAAGGGAAGGTGTTAATCGTAATGTCTTTATTGCCTCTTCCACCCTTTGGATGGCATGACCAGAGTATTTTATTGGAGGTCGTTATTCTTTAATCAGTCTTCTGATGCTGTCAATAGATGGTAAAGGGCTAAATCAGCTTTGATTTAATTCCTCTCAAAAAAAGCAAATTTCTTTTGTTTGTAATGTTTTTCCCTTACCTCAGAAAAGAAGAACCCTTACTCTAAAAGCTTTTTCTCTATCCCTTGCAAGGGGGAAATAAAGTTTTTGTCTTTTTTTTCCATTACAGAAACAGCCAGGGAATAAATCCATCTGGACACAGCACCATGAGGATTTTATTAATGCTATTCAATCAGTCAAGCAAGTCACAAAAGCTCTGAAGGAGGGCCACCCTCTCCCACCTCCTCCCCCCACCAAGCTTCAATCCAGGTTTGTGGGCTACTTTATCTTATTACTGCTCTCGTACTGATCTTTGGTAAAGAAGTGACCTCTTCTTTCCACAGCTGGGCTTCAGTTTTGCACCCCTTTGCACAACACAACATGAACATTAATTCCCTCTGTACTCTCTAATTTTCATGTTTCCTGGCTTAAACTGAGCAGGAGTGCGATGCAGAGGTGGTGGGAAGGAAGAGAAAACTACCTTTTATGTTTAAAGGGGTCTGATCTTAGAGCTCTGGGAGGAGAGCTGGCACACCTGTGTTCTAGCACAGGCTGTACCATGATATCATAGAGGGTGAAATGCATCCATTCAAAATCACTGTACTGCACACAGGCTTCCTGACTCCCACGTGTGGGTTTTCCATTGTCCTGTGAAGTTAGGGGAAGACAGAAAAATACAGGTCTGGCTTACTGCTAATACCAGATGTGGTTGCAGTGCAGAGCTCACTGTGATAGAAGTTAAGGATCCAAGAAGATGCCCATGCAGCCAGTATTTCTCACAGCATGTCATTTATGAAATATGGTAGCAACCTTGGAAAGGGTCTCAGGGGAGTTCCGCCTGCGCTAGGGAGGCAGAGGGAGGGGGAACGGGAAGGGGCTCTCTGGGCTCACTTCCAGAGCAGGAATTCCTAACTGATAGGAAAACCAGCTGCTGTGATTCCAGCCTTTCTCTTCTACATGACAGCGATGCGATACGAGCAGTGGGACACTTCGTCCTTCCTTGACGGGGGTCAAGGTGCTCTCTGAATTTCCACTACTGAATTATTTAATTACTCTGCTATTTTCCTGTCTGCTTCTACCAACTCTAAGAGCAGACCCCTCCCTTTCCTTCTGCCACGTGGAGGAAACCAAATTCTGCAAGAACAGCAGTAATTGTGGAGAAAGGAGTTGTAGAACTGCCTTTTAGGAAAGACAAATTGCCGAGGGGGCTAGTGAGGACGTATATCCTGTACCACAGGAGTGTGGTGTCGCCACAAGGCTTGCCTCTCCAGGCCCCAGAGGGTGTTCGGGCTGTGGCATGAGGCACAGGGTGTTTCCAGCCACCTGGTAGCGCTTGCCTTTGTGGGTTGGAGGGAGTGTGATATAGTCAATCTATCTTTTTTGGAACCCTCCTGGCTCCAGAAAAAAACAAAAAAGCAAAAAACCCAGACAAACCAAAACCAACACCAACAAATCTCCCAAGATCTCTCAGAGGTCCACTGCTTGAACTTGGTGAAAATCCTTTTTTTTTTTTTCTTTTTTTTTTTCCTCTGTCTTTTAGGTGCTATGGCATGTCTATGCTACCTTTCCTATGTCACCTCTCTGCCCTCCTATCCTTCTCTCCCGTTTGCAGGAGGCAGGAGCTGTGCAGAGAGGGGGAGCACTGGCAGCTGGTGGGGCTGCCTCCTCCCCCCACCGCACCCCCAGCCTGTGCAGGGCCACTCCTCTGCCCCCACCACTGCTCTCACGGCACCATCCAGAGGCAGTGCCACCGAACTGATGTCCTGCAGCTCGTGCTGCCTTCTCCACCGGCACTGCCCGAGTTGTGCCTGTCTGCCCCATCCTCTCGGAAACCACAGGTAAGCCCAGGGAAAGGTGGCAAGGACTTGCTGCCCCCTCTCCACACCTCTCCTTTAGCACTGCCTTGCCTGCGCCTTAAACCCCCCAAAACCAAGCTATTGCTCACTCAGAAATGTGAAATTCAGGCCTACACCAATCAGGCCCTCTGATTTGCCCAGAAACAGAGCATTTACAAGCCTTACCTACTGATGGCCTCACAAAAAATGCTCACAAAAGTTTCCCTAACACCAGCTATATATGGAAGTTCAGCCTTACACTAAGTATTAGATGACTCAGAAGTATCTCCCAAGTTGCGAGAATTTCAAAACAATTTTTCTGTAAACATAACCTTTTGAAATAGCTTGCCTGCCTTTATGATGGGACATGATCAGCTTCCTCTTCCATTTCTGATGTCAAGAATGTTGAAAAAGAAATTTGAAGGGACTGAAGGGTTGAAGCTGCAGTACTACACATTTAAGGTTTGCTTCTGTGTTTTACCTGTAGACACCATCATTGTGTGATTTTTAAGCATTTTAAGATCAAAAGCAGTTTATTTTCTTTTTACATGAATGAGACTCATTCTTTCTGTAGTAACATGCACTAACCTCCTCTCACCAGCACGTTTCTGTACTTCAGAAGAGGCTGAGGTCAGGAAGCAGCTTCCCTCCTGGTAGCTCCGAGCTCAGTCATCCTGCTACAGCTCTAAAAATGTGTGTGCCAGTCATACCATAGAATCATAGAATGGTTTGGGTTGGAAGGGACCTTAATTTAGTCCCACTAGACCATGTTGCTCACCCACCTTTCTAAGTCCAGATGAAAACAAGAGCCTAGGTGTAGAATGAGCACCTAACACTGTCTGCAACCTTTTCCCTATTCTGGAACTTTATTTAAATAACTGCTAACTGGGCATGAACCTGCAGCACCTGATCTTCTTCCTGCTGTTGTCCTTACAAGAATGGTCTTAACATTCCTTATGGTTTGCCTTATCCCAGAAATTTTTGTAACAAAAAAATACACCTCAACAATATTCCTGAAGAACACATTCTTGCATGAACTGCAGTAATACAACCTTCCCTTAATCCAACTACTGATAAACTTGTAAGAATATTCAGATCCTTGTAGATGTACAATGTCATTGTAGTTAATTAACAGCAAAACAGCAATAATTTTAAAAATATTTTTTATTTGAAGCTGTCTGGAAATATTCCTGTGATTAATAGGGGAGAAGAGAACTTAGTTTGAGAATTTATTCAGATTCAGAAAGTCTGTTTTAGCTGCAACAGAATTAATTAGTAATTGCATCATCTGCTAAAAACAGGATTTAAAAACTTTTTTACAAGCATGGCTTAGACAAGAAAGTAAATTTTGAAGCATTTAGGGCTTTTTCAGGATAATATTATCTACTAAGTGATGCAATTTTTGTGATTTCTGGTAGTTCCTGCATCAGGTGATAGGACTGTCACACCAACCCAGCATCAACTGGAAATGTACACAGATCATTTACCCTGGGTAACAAACAAAAATCCCCCTGAGTCTGTTTGAGAAGAAACAAAGGCTGGAAATTCAACTGCAGCTGTCCCGGTGCTACTGAGCAAAACCCTTTTGATTAAAATAGCCTTGACCATTATCACACCCACTATTTTCAGGCAACACTTGTGACGTAGGTTCATAACCTGGCTTTGAACAGGGCCCAGCATCTGCTCATCACCACAACCCTTCTGTGCATGGACCTACCCCTGGCCTCACAGAGGTCCTGCTTGTTTGTATGCTCCCCTGGGCTTTCTGTGGCAGAATCCACATTTCAGATGACTACAATTAATTATCATTTTCCAGACTAACCAAAGGCCAATTTTATCAACAAACGGTGAATAAGGTAGGAATCACTTTTTTATTGAGCATTAAATCAATCAAGATGTTGACCTAATGGGATAATAGATGCTTAAACTTAAGCAAATGCTTAAGTGTTTTACTATAGAGAAAGACCAGTGTCTGATAGCTTGCCAGATCCAGCTCTAAGTGAAAATTAATGTTTTCCTCGAAACCTTTGAGACAATTCACTTCCCATTCTGAAACCGCACATATAGAAGACATCAGTTCTTACACAGTGATGCAAAAGTGCTGGTTATTTCCAGCCCTAGGAACAAAACGCAGGAGATGCACACAGCTGAAGTGCACTTAAGAAAACAAAATCTAGTTAAACATGATCACAATAGTGATTTTCTTAATTTAAAAAAAGTGAAACGAGGTAAGATTTACTCCTGGAATGATTCTGATTTCAATTAAAGATTCATAAAGTTCAGTAATTAAGTGCTGGACAAAAATTATGCAATGTTAAATTGTTTGTTACGTTTGCCATATGTATACATATGCTGTGATTTATGGCTCATGAAAATTAATTTTCTGTCATTTCCTCTCATTTCCCCTAACCCTATTTCTCCTACTGCAGCAGCCATAGCTTTATTGTGCCTGTTACAATGCTTTACTATAATTGAAGATATTTATTCAGCTGTTTGCAGGAAAGGTAAGAAACAAAAATACAGAGGGTGTTGAGGGAAATATGTTAGTTCTACTGTTGTCATATCCTAAAAAACTAATAGTAGTATGAAAAATAGAGCTTCTTGTTTATTAACATCCTGAATTTAACTACCATGTTCATAACGTGCTTTGAAAACATTCGGGGCACTTTTTCTTAAAAAAATAAAACAAAAAACAATAAAAACCAAAACCAAACCAAAAACACCCCATCCTAACAGATATAAGTAAGAAGCACAGTCTTAAAAAAATAAGGAAAACAAACAAAGAAACACTGTGACAGTTATTTGAAGGCATGATGAAAATGAGGCAACGTTACAGAATTTGTAGTGGATGGATAGGAGCGAGGAAGATGATGCAGCTGGTTTATGGCCATCCCACCAGCTGCTAGCTGAAGACCTTGCTGTTGGCCAAGGCCATTCAGCCTGTGTGTTGGCTCCTCTGGGCCAAAAGACATTGTGATGTCCCCAGTAGTGTTCTGGTTGTCACCTGGTGGGAGCTGCCAGAAACTCATCACATGAGTGAGATCCATGAAAGGCAGGCTCGCAGTTTCAGCTGCTGCTTCTGTCTCCTTATGCACTGGGTACTTGTTAGTATCCCCTACGGGCCCTGAGGAAGCTTCTTCCAGACTGATTTTGTGCAGAGATTGAGGTTCTGGTAACGGCAGGTCCTCAAGTAGGTGCACGTTGTAACCTTTAACATCCACTTTTATCGGAAGATTCTTGAGGGATCCTGCTGCAAATGAGGTAGAACTAAGGTCATATTTATTAGGCTGATGAAGGTTCAGGTTGGCAGGAATGGCTGTTGAGCATGGTGTGGGATGGACAGCTGGAAGGCTGTCTGCACAGCCCATCCTTTGCAAATGAGGAGAAGGTTCAACAGGAAGAGCAGTTTGTAAGTTTGGCTGGGAATGAAGATGTGAACAGTTGTATTCCTCTGATTCAGAACTATTCAAAATCCCATTCTCCACAGAGACCCTTTCAGGAAAAGGGGACAATATGCTGGCATCTTCCTTCAGTCTGAGTGGAAAAAGCTGGTCAAGGAGACCCACTGAGTCCCCATTCTGCAATCTGCTCTTCAGCAGTTCTTGTGGATGAGTCTTCCTAGTATGGCGAGTCAGGTGGTCCTTCCGTCCAAACCTCTGGGCACAAAACTGGCACAGAAAGTCTTTGCAGCCTGTGTGAACTACCATGTGACGCCGCACGTCTTTACGGGTATAGAAGTGACGCTCACAGTGGTCACACTTATGTTTCTTTTCCTTGGTATTGCCAGCTGGTTTCCCTGCATGGCTTTTGAGGTGTTCCAGCAAAACTTCAGTACCGCCAAACTCCTGGGCACATACCCTACAGGTGAGGTCCCCACTGGTGGCTGCATGAAGAGCCAAGTGTCTCTTATAGCCTAGCTTGGTGTTGTACTTCTTGCCACAGTCTTCACACTTGAAGGCCATCTTGTTAGGGTCATGAGTCTTAAGGTGATTCTTTAGATGGTCTTTCCTGTGAAAGGTCTTTTCACAGTAGCCACACTGGTGAGATTTCTGTGAAGAATGAATGGCTGAATGCCTAAGGGAGACAAAAGAAAAGAGTTATTTGCATTTACATTCACTCTAGTACACAGTACAGCTGAGACTTCAAAACACTGGCACTCTCCAAGGAAGGCTTTTCACAAATCCTCAGATTATTAGGAAAAACCTAACTTTTCGGGGGGGAAGGTGTTAATCATAAAGCATACAGTAAGTTAAATTTGCTCAATATAATGTTTCTGAGTAGCTGCTGCAATTGAGGGAGATTAGTTTTCTCCAATTCTACACAAATGGGAATAATAAAAACTGGAACTTGGGGATTAACCGTCACTAGGGCATTCAAGTGGAAAAAGATGTCCTTGGTTCCCCCCCTTACCCCCCAGCAGAAAAGGAGTGCTTTCAATGCTGTACCTGAGCAGTTTATATCTGGAAATGAAGGCTTTTGTGCATCCGTGCTGTGCACACTTGTAGGGGCGCTCCCCTTTGTGCACGTACGTGTGGACCGTGAGCTTGTCCAGGGAATCAAACACCTTCCCGCAGAGCCGGCAGGGGAAGCCGTCGGGCTGCTTCACCTCCCTTCCTTTCAGCAGCGAAGACCGGGCATTTCTCCATCTAGGTATAAACCTCCCAAGTGCATCACAAGTGCTTCCTGAGCTGTCACAGCTGAGCTTTGCAGCAGAGGAACAGGTCCCGTAGCACTGGGTGATGCTTTTGCCCAGTGCCGCTCCTCTCAGTTTCCCTTTGAGTTTGCTTTTTGCTTTTACAGGTCCCAGTTTATTTGGAGATCTGAACCTGGTGGTAAGGACTCGGTCCTTAAGCATGCACTGGTGAGATTCCAGCAGAGCAAAAGCTGCAAAAGTGCTTCCACAGCTGGAGCATATCCAGGGCACTATAGGCTCTTTCTGCAATGAGAACAGAGACAGGTCTTTCTTATTAGCTATTCTGAGAGAAGGTAATATTCTTCTTACTGACACTTCATCTTTTCCTGGGCCTTCCCAAGACCAGTCACTGTCCCTAGCATAATTTACTTCAGTGTACTATCACAGAGCTGTTCAGCTGGAAATGGATTCTCTCTACCAGACTACAAACTAGGAAAAAGAAAAAAAAAAAGGTTGGCAAAATACCAATTTCTGTGGTTTTGTTTAGCATTTACTGTAAGAGTCCCACGTCCTTCACCCTTGTTTACTTGTGCTTACAGAATTTCAAAGTCTCTACATTTGTTTCTTGTATGGAATTACTCATAAAAGCAGTTGCAAATTGATCCTTTATCCTTAGACTGATGTAATTTATCTGCCATTGCAATCATACAAAAATTGGGCGAGTTTCTGCACACAAACGTAGTTTAGCTATACAGGATTCCCTTGTATTTTGGGAGGACTCCATGCTTTACCAGGCAGAAATGGTCAATGCCTCCTGGAGAAACTCCTTCACTTAGCTTGACATTTGGCATTAAACTTACTTAAACTCAATAAGAAACACCTTAAGTTTGGAAATATCAAGCTGTCTTAGAGGCATTAAAACATAAAAGCTTTTTTGGCAGCAACGCATTATTTGAAAGTATTATTTCTGTGGAAATGAAAGCTCTACTGGATTCAGCTGAATTCACTTTAAATACAGACATCTTAAAAATCCAATTAAAAACAATTATAAAAAAACCCTGCAGTCACTATTGAAATGTACTTCCAATTAATACTCGACCCTGTACTTCCTCAGCTGTCTCTATATTTTACTTCAGCTTCTCATACACTGTCCTTACCTTCCCTTGCTCTTGGGCTAGCTTGCTCTTGAGAACATGCTGAGCCTACGCCTACTCTGTCTTTCTTTACAGACAGTGCCCTCCTCTACCTTATCTGTGTCTGATGCTGTGGCCTTCCCATCCCATCTTTCTGGGGTGTATTCTAAGGCCCTTGTGCAAATGCAAAAATAGGGTTACTTCCTTCCTGAACCACCTCTGAATTCTTGCTTTTATTATATTCCCTGTTTACCATTTCCATCTAGTGTAGGTACTAATCCTCATGGTCCTATTTTCAGTGCTTACAATCTTCTTCTATCAGTTTAAGGATTCCTACTATTATACAGAGGGAGTAGTATTGGAATTAGAAGTGTTACAGCACAGGAAAAACTGAAATCATCAGTGCATTATCTGACCAGCCAGTCAGGGTATAATAAAGGGAAACTGGTGAAAGAAGCTTGAGGCTGGGCAGCTTGGTTATCTACAAATACATACAAGTCTTTCCAACACATCACATTGGTGCCACTTACTTCCAGTGATATCTAATGGCTCTATTGGATTATGAACACAAGAAATGAAGAGCAGCCTTTTTTTGAGTAACTGTTGGTTCAAGTTGCTCTTGGCTTTGTGTCAGCCTACTACACTGTGGTCTAGTCCAGCATTACCAGAGCTACATAAACACAGAAAACATGTACATTTTAATTTACTATGTCTGATGATGGTTTGAATGCAGATCAGGGGTACTTACTGCTACTGGAGGCAATGGATAGACATCAGATTCTTCTTTAATGAAGACTGCAGAAGTTTCCATAAATTTGGCATAATCGGCAGCATACCATACCTTCAATTCTGTATGGGGTTCAATTGGCTGTGAATGGAAGAAAACAGCACATTTACTTCTCCAGATGTTCCTATACCAGATACTGAAGATTGGAGATAAGTTGTGTGTGCAATTTGTGTCCTTTCCCAGGTTGCATTCTTTGAATCTGTTTAAATTATTAGTAATTTACTTTCAAGATTCAAGCATTTTTGGAGCATTACTATCCAGTAGAGTTTGACACCTTCACTGTTTCTAAAAGCAGAAATACAGATGTAGAGAAATTTTGGAGGAACAGTAGCAGGAGAAGTGCCTCAGCTCTCATGACCTTACCCAGTGAGATCTATTTGTCTGTAATGTCCAGCAGTCTTTCCAAGCAGCATCCCAAGCCTATTCCTTGATGTTGCAAAGCCCAAGGAACAAAACACTTAGCTATAGGGTACAATCAAAGGAAAAATGCACTGTGAATGCACAAGAGCTTGGCTGCCTTGTGTATGTGTTGCACTCAGGCAACGTGGGTGCACAGTTGATCAATATATGGACTGCAAGTCAAACTTGCATGTTTCCATGTGCTGGCTCTAATGCGTCAGGCACACTATGTGTGTGTTGTACTCTTGCCCTTCTTTCACCGAAGCCTTCCCACACAGCTCTAAGGGAGCCCACTATCTGCAGTCTCTTCCAGTCATGCCTGCCCAGATCTTTCCTTGCACTGAACTATGACCTCCTCTGACAAATACTTTGAGTAAATAACACATCAAATAGAAAAAGAGAGGAGTGATTACACTCACTGGCTAAAGATCCATTAGTTATTTAAAAGCAAAGGAGAAAACTAAGTTTGTGGTCATGATTTGTATGACTCCCTGGCCCTCTACACAGTCTTTTTAATCTATAATAAAAAACAACTTTTCTGCAACAGGGATAGAGTCAATTGTTTAGTTTTATTTAAGCTAAACTAAATTATATGATTCTATGATAAATTTGTGTCACTAAAAAGAACAAACTAGCCTGGAAGAAGAGCAGCTGAGACTTATTCCACAAAATGTGACATCTTAAAATACACTTATTTTTTAACACTGGTGTTGGATAAGCATGGTAGCTGAAAGATAAGTTAAATTGTGAATGCTGACAGGTGAAAGGTAATTGTGTGTATATTGTCAAAAACTGAACTTTTGATCTCCCAGGCACAAGTCTGCTTGCTAACTACAGCCAGTCTGGATTGCTTGTACCTTTTGATAACACCTGGCCTAAACATAAATGCTATGTGCAGAATTCTCCACTCAATAAAGGACATGAGGCACAACCACCAACTGGGAGGCCTATCATGCAGTGTGCTCCTGCATATAGCCTATTCAGATGGTGAAGAACCAAGCCTGGGGTAGCTTCACAGAGACAAATGCTTGGGGATGCCCTGGGACCATGGCTAGTGACACCTGAGTGCAACCCCCAAAAAGCTATACAGGATGACTTCCTGCCCAACATTCCTGGACCAGTAGTGATCTCTGTGGGAAGCTGAGACCTAGTCAATGAAACTTTGGAGGGAGAGCAAGCACATCAGTGCGTGAAATAGTCAAGTAAGCTAAAAGCTCTAATCTCAGTAAAACTGAGATTAAACGCCAGTATCCAAACCTACTACAAGCTGTCATTTACTCTGTCTTATCTGTGACACTAACAGAAAGCTGTGGCAGCAACCATGCAAAACTGTCCTGTGATCAGACAAGACAGCAACTGTGGATGATTTTTACTTCCTCATCATTCTATACTTCTTTAAAGCACTTATTTCTAGGGACTGCAGTCATTAGGTCAGCAAGTACACTAACAGTGCTGTTAGTGTGCCACTGACATATGTGCTTTTGAAGCTGCAGTTTCATGTCACCAAAATCCCATCCCTTTGTAAACACAGTGGGGGGAGGAGCCAATCCTTCTACTCCCAATTTAACAGACTTTATCTGAAATAACTTGAGAAAATATCTTCATAACCAGCCCTAAGGTATAAGGTAGTCTCATGCTGTGACTATCAGGGTGTGCTTAAGTGTAGGAAAAGGCTATCACTTTTGCTGACAGGACAAGATCTGCAGGATGCCACAGTACTGAGAATGATACTGGGACTTTGGAGAAACAAAACCAATGTAATTCTCTGTGACAGACAGCACAGTAAAGGTTCCAAGGCACATTCCTTATCCTAACATACTCTTCATGTCTGTATCTAGAATGCAACTCTCCATTAATGCCAACAAGCAGAGTTCTTGCTGAAATCAGCAGAGAGCTGGTTCAATAGTATTTAAATGGCAGTGGAAATTCAAAGTTACCAGTTCACAACTTCAACTTCTTTGAAAAGCATTTGTTTATGCTTCCCAAACACAGTGTTACTAATTCTGTCAGTTCTACAAGTTTAGCACGCATTTAAAAGCAAACTGAAATCTCAACTGCTGCATCAGAATCTCAAACACAGCATGAACAATATCTCAGAGTAGCATTTACTATTTTACATTCATTTTCATTTGTTAAAAATAATTATTTTAATATTAATCCAAAAGCAACTAGTCTTCACACTGTAATAAAAGACTTTGAAGGTGTAAAATGTTATCACTATTAACTTCTCACATTGTCAGTCTGGTAAATATTTTTCTCACTGTGCAGGTAGATAAACAATAATGGACAAACAAAAGTAAACACTACTGTATCACAAAAATGTGTGCCAATCTTGGAAATTAAATTGAAATGCTGGATTTCAATCCCACAGTAACATCTTTTGACTAATATTTGTTTCATTTTAAGTGTTGTTCACAGTGATGCACAAACATTGACTTCAGAATAAAAAAAAACACAACAATGAATGTTCAACATACACACTTCAGTCTCCTAAGCATACAGGAGGAAGTTCTGTTGAATGTAACCATGCTAGATCATCTCACCATGTACCTACCTATCTGGGACTGAAGAACTTTACAACATTCACATTTAAACACTGCCACCATGAATCATATTTCTGTTTTTCTCTGTTCAGTTTCTTCACCACCCATGACAGCAAGTACACACCATTTTTTAATGGAAAACCCCATATACTGCATGCTACAGTATCGATGAAGGTGGTATGTAATAAAGATCCAGTTGGCAGAATATAATCACTCTTTCATCTGTAAAAGGATTAGCCTTCCGGAACTTATGCCTATACATTTCAATTTGGATGACTGGTGAAACACTGTGGGTTTAACTACCTTAACAGTTGTGAAGTAGACTTCTCCACAGTGCTGATAAGCCACAAGAGTCTGTTCTTCTTGGTTCCGGGCTAGCCGGACAAACATCATCCAGTTTCCACAGTCTTCATTGGGAGTGTCCAGAAAGTACTTCCCTCCATCTTTCAAGACCTGAAACAATGGGGGAGGACAGGAGAAAGAACATGACAAAACCAAGTCCTGTATAAAGGCACATTAGTTTTCTTTAACTTGGAATCAAGGCTATCAGTTACTTACCCTGTCTTGGTCATACGTCCTTTGAAATAGTGGTTGTTTTGAAATAGATCACTCTCAAAGAATACAGAGTGCAACAGAAAATGAAGAACGAACAGATGCCGAGGCACTCAGCTACTAAAATAACTGTAGGCCTTTGTATGTATTTCCAGTTTATATTTCATCATTTTCATGTTATATGAAGATAATATTATATGAACTAAGTGCAGGTAGGAAGATAAGCTTTATGCCTTAATGTACTTCCTGAGTACTCGATAATCTCAAACTCTAGTGCTGTACTAAAGCTACATTTTGCATGGAACAATTGTGTAGCTTGTGTAACAAGTCCAGAGAGGTAACATACAATATAATGGCATTTTAACAGTCTTCTTTTTTTCCCCTTAACAATGCAAAAGTAAACACAAATGAACAATTGGGCCAGAAAGATCTCTTTCATTTTCCTTTACCATGTTCCTCCTAGATTCCTTTCCAAGAGAATGCCTCTACAAGGCAAACGCTCCTGACCTCAAACAAGACAGTTCCTTTACTTCAATATAGTCTGGAACACACACAACAGATGTCAGCACAGTATGTATCTGTTCTACTAGCAGCATAAGTGAGCAATGAATTGCAAATAAAAAGTTGTATTTCCACTAGTGTGTCGTCATGTTTACATTGGTCTGATGGAGTTTTCTGGTAAAAAATTCAGAATGCTGCTAGGGAAAAGTCAGGGCAGCTACTGCTATCTTGTAGGAAACCTGGAACTCTAGTCTCCTTTTCTGAAGAAACAGTCCATTCATCAGCCAGAGCTCTGCTTATCACTGCATACTTCTAAGCAAAGGGGTTGACTAATAGTCAGGGTGTGGTTTACAATGGCTTAGTGAAGAGGAAGGAACTGGGTGCTTAGCTCATCCACTCTTGCAAGCTTGTTAAGAGAACTGTTTTCTGCATTTGTAAGAATTGAAGTGTCTCATGAAAAGACAGAAAATATTTAGTTATGGAGAAGAACAAATCTGCTCTGGTGTCAACATGTTATGAAAATCCCACAGGAGGACAGCATTCACTTTCCTGGCAGATCACTCACAGGACCTCCATGAACTAATGAAGTTTACAGCAATTACTGAAGCTATTTTGCTCTCAAACAAAATCACAGAAGTATCTGTATCTCTGCCTTCCACCTCAACACAGTGTTTTCCAGGCCCAAGCTTCTGGAGAAAGTTGGTGCTAGTCCCTCTCTCTTCGGGGGTGAGAGGGCCTGATATGAAACAGACTTTGGAAAAACCATGACCTGTTGGGAAATCTTGATGGAGTCTGTGGTCAAGCCACAGCCTTGCTGTATGACAGAGAGGTGTGCCCAGGTGTGGTCACATGCAGCAAAATGCAAAGACGGGAGTGCAGAGAATTATGATCAACTATCGCTTCCAAGGAATTCCCGTGGGAAAGGATGTGCATGCAGGTATTTCTAAGCTAGGCTAGTCCTGAGTGGCTGCTATTTGTGCTGGATAAAGTACAAACAATAGCATCATTATCCACAGGAGGCAATAAGTACCTGCACATGCAGCAAGGGATGGTGCAGCCCTAAATAATAATCTGACTAAATAACTGAGTCAGTGCACTGTGTCACAGATTCATATAATCACAGCATTAAGAAGTGCTTCCCATTCCTGCACTGTTCCTCTCTACCGAGCAAGTGCCTTAGAGTGTATTTCTGGCACTATTGCAAACTCAGTGCATAAACTGCACCCTCCCAACAATGTGGTTTTATGCACAAATCCTTTTGTTTATCTAGGAAGGCAGTACTATCCTTGGATACTTTCAGAAGCTGTGCTTTGTGGAAAGTTTATCAAGAGCTGTTAGATTGACAGGTAAATCACCTGGTAAAACTAGAAAGCAGAAAAACAAACTTTTAGAAAATACAACATATAGGAACATTCTGGTACTTCAGGATATGTTGTGCAGTCTAACAATGTGATTTACATTCATACATACAGATCAGAAGTACAATTAATTAACTAGATTAGATGGCAAATTGACTTGTTAAAATATATAAATACATATCATGTTAAAGACACATATGCACTTCATAGTAAGTCACTGGGTTTTTACCTGCAGGACTAGCCTGCTCTCATCATAGCAGGTCAGTTTTGTAGACAGTTGACCAACATAAGGACCAAACTGTGTTCTCTTCTGTATTACTTTCTTTGCAAATACTCCAAGGACTATGAATAAAAGAAGACCAGTCTAATATTAATATAAACATAATGAACTATTTCTAGTATGCTTAGAGTTGTGCAAATAGAGATAAACACAACAGTGCAGAACAAATGAATTCTGCTAGACAAATAACCCAGGTAAATAATTCTAACAGAAAGAATCTGAAAAGGATGTAAATATATACAGAGGTTTTATTTTTTAATGGTTATTACATTGAATACAAAAATGCCTAAAATATATGATAGGATATTAAACTTCGTATGCAACACAAAGGTGTTGACATTTTTCATTCCACAAGCTGGTATTATCACAGTGCTTTGCTTGTTGGCATAATTTATGAGGTAGTTCTCTCCCAATAGGAGTGGAGAGAATCTATAAAAACACAACATTAGCCACCTTAATAATTCTAGTTATCCTCCTGCCTAATACTAATGGTGTGACACAAGAGGAATCTTGTCATTCTCTTTCCAAAACACAGTCTAGGCAGGACTCATTTTACACAGGTAGCTGTGGAAAATTTGCACACTAAGGATGTAGTTCCCTTGTTCAAGTTTGGGCATTCAAATCCCCCTGCCCTCAGAAGGAAAGAGCAGTATATCCATAATATGAACTGAAGATGCTGCAAAAGCTATATTAACCCACTGTGATCTTTTGAGTTTGCAGGGGGATGGATGAGGGATGCTGCTTACTATTTTGTTTCTGACCTCTTATTGAATACTCCTTCCTGTTTTGCATGCTTGGGGAAAAAGAAAGAAAAAAAACATAATAGTGCATGGCTGTTACTATTAGACACAAATTCAACATTCCTTAAACTTGTACAGACTGAACATAGCTAACTGATTGCTCACAACTAAATGTCAGACCAGCTCTGGCTAATGTCCTGCTGTCAGCCTATGCATCAAGGTTACTAGAAATCAGTCACAGAAAACAGCAGCTGAACATGAGCTTTAGCTGTGCTCAGCTGAAATAAATTAAGTCTTCATACTGTTAATACCCAATGATTATGCCTTGGGAGTTATTAATGAAGAAAGCCAGTGCCAGTATTTTGGCCTGTCTGAAATCTGGGAAAAAGAGCTACAATACTTACTCTGCTCGTTTCCAGCTCGCAGCTCCAACACTCGCAAAGTGAGGTAATGAGGTAGGGTGAGACGGGCTCGGCTAGGAATAACCCTGTCCTTAGCCCTGATGAGTGGCCCGTGGAGCTTGCATTCTCCTACAAGGCTTTTACCGCAATCCTCACACCCTGCAAATCCAGAAAAGGGAACCTGTTACTAAAAATGACTGCTCTCCAATTTAGTCTCTTCTAATCTCGTCACCTTGAGAAGATATCTTGAATTACCAATGCTCTTCTTCACACCGCTGTTCTACATCAGATAGCGAAAAGATTATCTGCAAGCTGAAACTGAACTAGGAAGATTTCAAATAAGACCTCCAGTTTGTGCATTCTCTCCTGTGCATATTGGTGAGTTGATCTCCATGATTTATACACAAGCTCATTTGTGGGTGTCACAAACTGTGCCTTTGGTGACTAGGATGGCAGCAGAACTGGAGCTCACAGCATGCGCCCAGGGGGCATATACTTACATAGAAACGAGAAAGACAAATTTGCTAGTAATAACCAAGACAATTTGCAGAAAACCAAGGAATCCAAGAAAGATCACTGTGGCTTTGTGAGTCTGCACAGTCTATTCTCAGTAGAAGACAAGACCCTTGGTGTACCATGAAAAATGTGTACGATGGGTCCTACAGTCACAACGTAGTTGACAGTCACGCAAGGGCAGCCTCCTGCTCGTAGATGTGGAAGTAAACAAAAGAGGCATTCTGCATCTCCCAGTCATTGGTTCACAGTAATGACATCTGCAGGCTGAACACACAAACCATCCAAAAAAGTCATTACGCAGAAATACATGTCTGCAAACTGACTTTCTCCCAGCACACTGAGATATTTTTGGTTCAGTGTAGCTCAAGCTGGTTGCCAGGGAAACTCATACGGAGCAGAGACACAACTGAGCAATGATACTCTCCAGCAGAAGGTCATCCTGGCACTGGTGTCACACAGGGCAATGGGAAAAAAGGGACTTCTTGCACAGAACCTTTTTATAGACAATAGAAACCAAACCAGTGAGCCAACAACATTTTACGACTGAGTTAAAAGGAAAAGCTGTTATTGGTCATCCATGGCTACCTCGTTTTATTTTACTTTTGAAAACACTTCCAGGCAAGTCTATTCAGTAAGTGACAATAAGGAGCAGAGGAGGGGAGCCAGAACAGCCAAGAGAGTCCAAGGGAGCCATGGGATGCTGTAGCACAGACTGGGGCAGGAGAGGTGAGGCTTCACCACAGAGAGGGGCTCACAGCCAAAGAGAAGTCAAGAGAAGCGTAAGAGCCCAGGATACACTGCCTAGAGAGGCACTGGAGATGGTCTTTGAGAAAAGACAGAAAATTCCATATTCAGGGTAGCTCAAAGTAGGCACTTGGCTAAATTACATGCCTTGAGAGTTTAGTCCAGAATCTCCCCAAATAAGCCTGAAGTGTTCCTACTGAGTTTTTTGTGCTCTCCATCAACTAAATGAGGCGGCAGACTGGCATGTTGCTCAGGTTGCAGGCACTGCAGTAGTCCATATTTTTCAATAATTTAGAGACCATTTAGTTCTCTTTTGCCATGTCTCCCAGGGTGAACATCTGCACCATGAATAGCTGAAATACATGGGGCTTTTGGATACTGCCATATATAAAGAACAAGCCACTCTACAGCCATCACTTAAAAAGCACAAGAAATATTGGAGCTGCAAGGCACATTTTTCTAGTTATACACTTTTTAATGCACCTGAAAGTCCTTTCCAGCTGGGCTGCAAAGAAAAAAAATATTTCCTTGGTGATTTAACCTCACTGGCTTTTCAATAAATTGCCAACAATCTGTGTCTTCAACAAAATTACGAGGGCTTCATCTCCATACCTAGAATAATAGTGACTTTGTCTCAAGTTAAACAGCTCCTGTTTGGAGAGTCACTGTATGCAAACTGCTGAAAAACATTACCAAAAGCAAAATGGAGACAAAGAACCGCTGTTAAGAGGGAGGATGTATCTAATCGTAAAGTACACGACCTTATCAATCCATGCCATGCCTCTGTGATTCATCACAACCCAGATCCTGAGCAAACCTTCCAGCTGCCCCAGGGCAGTGCCTGCTGCAGAGGCCCCAGGGTGGGCAGCTCATGGGAAGGCTGGAAAGGGAAGGAAGGAATCAGCCTCCAAATTCAGCACTAGTGGCCTGTTAGCAAACCCCTCTCCTTGGTCCTCTGGAGCCAAGACATGAGGTCTGAAATAATTTGCGCTGCTCAGGCGCTTGGGAGGTGCTCTCCAAGATCAGGGACAGCTCTGCATCCAAGCAGGAGCCACCAAGCTCAAGGGCCCCAGAGATGGCTCCCCAGGAGGCACACCTAACTGGCATGACACAAAACCAGCCCTCAGTCTGCACTGAATGGAATTAGCTGCAGAGCTGGAAGTGGTTTTGAAGCACCATGTTAGTAAGGCTTGGGATTCTGACCTGACATCACTGCATGGCACCTTAGAATAGCCAGCAATGTCCAAGGCTTGTTCTAGGATTTTCTGTGCTTCATTAGATGGAATATGAAGATAACTAGCTGACACAGTTATTTAACAGGCAGCCTGGAATTACATCCATGACACTATTTCTGATCCCACATCAGCACATTAGTATTCTGACTCTGAATTTATTGCACACTAAAAACTGCTGGGTGTACCAGAAGCACACGATTGGGCCACCTAAATAAAATAACTGTAGGGATTACCCTGGGGAACAGGTGTCTTTTTAATTTCTTCCCCTCAAAGTAACATCAGAAAACTTGAGTTTTCTTCCTTGTGTCTCAGTGCTAAATTACAGATGCCTTTAGTGGAAGAAATGTGTGCATTATCATAGCTGCAGCATAGCACTGGTTTGCAAAGCTCACAGATTTTGAGCCTCCTTTTATATTGGCTGCTTAAGTGAAAAAATTTTCTCAACAACAGCCTCAGCACACACTCTAACCTGTTCTGAAATAGAGCATCCAACTATGGAAACAACACACATGTTGTATTAGCATTAGGAATAAAGTACACTTGGTAAGAAAAGTCACCTCCTGTGAAGATTTTTTTCTTCTTTTTGTTAGGCACTTTCGTACATCACTTGATGCTTTTACAGTTTCCCTGCACCCTTAAATTGTATTTACACAAACAAAATTAATAGATTCAATGTCATTTTACAAGAATACTTGAAAATGTGCAAGCATGCAAGAAAAAGTAAAACTGCCTCTGTTCCTCTGCTCTCCTGTGATTTAGATGAGTAGGCAACAAAAATAAATAAATGAGATTCACAGGAGTTACAAGCTGTTAAAAAAATGATCATGTCATTTACTATATATTTACAGCAGCAGTGCTATATTGTCCCCTGGAGGGTACTTCTTTTTTCTTTCTCTATGGCTTTCCAACAATTGTGAAAAAGTTCCAAATAATGCATTTTTCATCTACCTGTAATGAAACTACACAATCTAATAGATCCTACTGCTGGTAGGACTTAATTTGCACAGCTCCACTGCAGCAGTGAGGAGGCATGTGTACAGAGGAGCCCAGAGTGGCTGTGGGTGCAGGTGCACTCCGAGCAGGGAGTGGGTGCTCAGCCATCACCTTGTCACACAGAGAAGGTGCCTGTGCTCTGCTAACTACATCACCTGTAGCCCCCCAGCCCAGAATCTCTGCGTGAATCTGCTCCCACTTTCTGCCCAGCTCCTGGGAGGCACGGTTGGCAGCTATGGCTTTCCCCTGACTTTTGGGTCAGTGGAAAAATGACACCTGCTGCCTGCAGGAATCACTCCCACCACATGGGCTGGCCACGAAAGGCCACCACGTGAGGTGGCCACGTTCCCAGGGGAGAGAGGGGGTTGTGAGTGGGGCTCACCTGTACCATCCTCAGCACAATGGTGCTTCCCCCCAGTCCAGGTCTAGGCGACAGCTCTCCTTTGCTGCAGACTACAGCTTGGCAGCCTTTGCAGACAGCTTGCCTCGTCCTCCATCAGGCTCCAGGGCTGGCCAGGCTGCACAGGGACAAGCTCCCCACAGCCGGCAGTAGCCAAGCTAGCGCAGTGACTGGGGCAGGCAGGACTCAGCACAGTTAACAAACTCGGGTTTCCAAAAGAGCACCGTGCCACCCCCAGCAGGCACAAGCCCGGCCTCGGGGAGAGCTCGTCAGCGCAGGCAGGGAGCCACGGCTGCGGTCACACCGAGCCCGGCTGCAGAGATAACGGGAGCTATACATAGCCATACTGGGAACTGCAATCGCTGTCGTGATAGCTCGAACATACCACCAGCTCCTTAGCCAACCCGAGGCAGAACAGCACTTTTTAAAACCAGTTTGCTAAAAACTAGATGCCTATCATGCAGTCCTTCCTGCTTTCTCCAACCTCTACTTTCAAGCAAGGCTTTACAGTACCTGAACACCTCTGTGGCCCACAAGATGCCTGCAGTACAACTTACATGCCCTGTCAAGGCAGAGGTAAAGAATTCCTTTTAAAATGTCCAAAGAAGCCCCATGAGGAACGATTGCCCGGCTGAGTAGAGCTCAACATTTGCTGTGCTGTTTTGCTGCATTAGAATTAGCTCCCGTGAGCAGAGGGAACAAAGATCACTGTACACAGCAGTCTAAATCCGAGCCTAATTACAATCATAAGATTTGCATAGCAAACAACAGTAATTTATCCCAAAGTAAAACTGTACTGCCCGTTAGCCCTGTTCAGCTCTCATGCTGAGGAGCTCTGCAGGCACATCCTGTGGACATTTTCTGTCTAATATATATTTCATGTGCTCTATGCGAGCCTTGGTCCTTCTTACACAAAGGCACACAAGATTTTCCTGCCCTGCAGTTTGTTCTGAAGCAGTCCTTGCTAGAAAAGCTTGAAGATGCTATTCCATAATATAATTTATTTGGCAAAAAAATTAAAAGTACCCAATTAGCAAACAGTTCCTCCCAAGTTATTTTCCCATTATTGTGGGTCATTGCCACACATTTCCTCTGTAAAAAACATACATGAAAGAAGCCCCACATCTCCCAAGTTTGATGTGCAAAGTGCATTTACAAAGGAGCTGAAACTCTTAACTGATTAGTAATCCATCCTATTTATACTATAGTAAACCAGAATTTGCTATAATTATCAGAATTCAGAATAATTTAATTAAAATCCCATTAACTTC